ACACCCACACCCAAAATTATTGTACCGTTCGATTCTTATATGTAAAAGTTTAATATCTCGAGTTCCTCTCATTCAATCTTCATGATTTTGTCAGGGTAGAATCCTCTAGTAAGTCCTCACTACCACAGAAAAAAAATCGCGATTTTATCCCGGATAGATCTTGAGATATTAGGACGACAAGGTTAAATAGTCCGATTTTGACTGCTATCTATTGGAAGAAAATGTCATATAACCAATTGGTTCTCCTTTCATTTGAACTCCAAAAGTTATAAATATTAAAGTTAACAGTATGTACTTATCGGATATAAAACTGATTGATTGTTCCATGATATTTGATATGACACTTTTTTCTGTATATCATGTGTACAGTCAACCCTTAAATTCCTGTCACGCGAGATTGAAAATGACTTTAGTATGTAACAACGCGTCTAAAATTGGTCGAGCTGGTATTGAACGAGAGTCAGTTAGTAGGAGATAAAAGTGGCCAAAGACGATGAGAGAGTTGTGCTAGTCTTTATTAGAATATAATATGAAATATGGATTAAAAACATAGTTGTCACACTAAATGTCATGCGAGATTTTTTTTTTGTCTGACGTATAACTCTCTTCAGGTACAGTACTTTGAGCTGAAATGTTGATCATTTTATTAGCTCATTGTGGCCAACTATCATCAAAAATATCAGCGTCAGAAAGTTTGTCTTTCGTGCAAAAGAGAAGAAATAATGCAAAAATGTCACGCGAGATTATGAGGTGCATAAGTTCTTCGCAGCTGAAGGAAAAATAAATACGTTATATATTAATTAATTACATATTTAAAGGAATATCAAAACTCATACAAAGTAGCTCTATTTTGTGTCTCCTAACTGGGCAAATTAGCAGTTGAAGATCAGTGATCACATACGTTCTCTATTAGCCGCACATATAAAAGTTTAATGGTGTATAAGTACTGTGCCACTGCAAATGCAAAGCTCTCTCTAGCATGATCTGAAGTCCTTCAAATATATATTAGAATATTCGTGGTTTAACGAACTTACTCAAATATATGAAAAAATTCACATTTGAGATCTTATTATATATTTTTAAAACTCTTGCAGCTCGACCAATTGAAGAGTGGTAGTCGGGAAAATTTATAGATATTCTCCTCTCATATAGTACACTAAGATGCACTAATCAGAATCCCTAAAATCGAAATTTTTTTTCGTCCATTTTTTTCTCAAAACGGTACAATAATTTTGTAATTCACCCATATACATGACCTTCTAGGAAGTTTTTATTAATAAGATGAAATGATAAATGGTATATATATATTGAATATTTCTACAAATCAGAAAAAAATTTTATTGTAAACTTTGCATAACAGTATCATAGTCAGGTGGTAAATCATCATCATTAAATATTGATTGTTCACGATTTGAAGAATAAGATATACTTAAAGGATTAAATGATTGTTGTTGACTTAAATCAGAATTTGGTTCAGTTCCTAGTGTAATTGGAACATTAATATGAAAATTAGTAAATATTCCTTTAACTTTAACTGTAAGTTTAAGCATATAATAAATATGAACGAAAATGTTTGGGTTTTCTCCTTGAAATTTATATGAAGGAGGAAATCGTTTAGAAGGAATTTTCGTCGAAAATCTTTCCATAATATGTTCATTTGTTAAATTTACAATTTTTGGTAATATAGTTTTATATACAATACATTTATCGAAGTTTTTTTCAATTTCATAATATTTTAATATTGAAAGTTTACTATGTAGAATTAAAATTTTTCGTGGATTTTGAATTTCTAATGTAAATTGAATATTTTCACCAGAAACATATCCTAATTTATTAAAAGTTGCCTTTAATTTAATATCTGTTCTATTTTTGCATTTGAATATAGATGATAATAAACATTGAGGATTTTCTAATAAATTAACACGTGGATATATTGTTAAATATTTTTTATTTGAGGTATACCATGATTTATCAATAGCAACTTGTAAAAAATATCGAACACGCGGAAATATATCAGGTTGATTGATAGTTGGTGGAAGATTATCAATTAATGGAATTTGAAATAACCATGCATAACATCCGCGATCATCGATAAATTCTTGTTGTGTTATACTAGGTCCAGATAGACTAACTTTTTTATAATAAAATTGAACCTTATAATAATTTCGTTCTATTGATCCATATCTAGCACTTGAAGCAGATCGAGCTGTATAACCAATTTCACCGATCAGATTTATGTATATTTCACGTATTTCTGGATTTTCTTCTATAATATTAAATCTAACTATTCCAGACACAGTTTCACCAGAATAATAAAACAAATCATTTCGATCAACATCAATTGTAATTGCACTACTGTTATCATTTCCCATATTTTATTTTTAGTTACACTCTGTAATATATATATATTAGTTTCTTTTCTCGTAAGTATAGGTCGGAGAGATGAATCAGCGAAATGAGATATTATTATTTATTTGAAGTTGTTAGAGAATAAACATCAGTGATGATGATGTACATTCCAAAAATTTAGTTCTAGTAGTATTACGACCAATGAAACACTTAAATATGAGTCATTTCATGGTGATGTCAGATATTTTCCTTGTCAGCGTGTACAACAAACGAGGGTACAACTATAGAAGAACGACACCAGGGTATGCAATGGAATTTCGAAACAAAATGTTTTTGTACACTCTGTTTAATCAAGCAAAATGTACATATACACTTTGTTTTTGCAAGCAAAGTGTATCAAGATGTACACGTCGAAACTTATTATATAATCTACAAAAAAACAATAAATGTTCATTTTTTTATCTGATCAAAAATATAATACAAATATATAAGATTGTATAAACAAAAAATAAACGCATAATTATTTTTCAATCTGATACGAGCGAAAGTATGTTTGAGAAAATAGTACATATCGACATTTTACTTCAGCGAAAAGACACAAAAACTAAAGATTTTACTATTTCAATTTAAAAAAATATCAGCAAAAATCAATCAAAATTTTCATTTTCATCTTCTTCATGATGCATATCTACATGATCATCGCAGAACCATGCTGAATCCACTGCTATAGCAAGTTTGATTCTACAATAATTGCATAACCATCTTGAACAGTTCTCTTCCAAATCAATCCATTGAAATTGTTCATTTTGATGACAACACAGTATTGCTTCATTTTGACTAGGATCAGTTCCAGAAACTTCTCGTTTACAACCATTAGCACCTGCAAAAGAGATTAAAAAACAAGTACGGGCAGAAGATACTACAACTTACATTTGATATACTTTGATTTTTTTTTCTTTTTGTTTTCAATAAATTCTGATTGAAGATAATCTCGATTTCGCTTGCAAACTGAACGAACTTGATTAGCAGGTGTATAATCATCTGGTGTATCAAGCAAGAGCTGTATTTGATGAAGACGACGATTATGATCTAAGTCATTCCAAGACTCAAAAGATTTATTAACAACTTCTTGACATCTTGAACTATAAAAACAAGCAAATATATAAAAGTTTAATAACTTTTCAATTTACCTTCGTAAGTCGTCTTTTAATAGCATTCGTATAGTCATTAAAATATCCAATGTTGAAATTTTTAAACGTGATCTGCCTGTTGCTTGAATACGATTAGCAGCAGAAAACTAAAAATATAAAAGACAGTATGATATAAATTTTAGAGAAGTCAATATTTTACGTACACCTCTTTCACATTCTGCAGAATTAGTCGGTGAAATTAAATATATATTTAATAATAATAAAATGTTTTTATGTTGACTTAGAAAATTACTATTTGTCGAAATCTTTAAAGCAATAAAATCTTTCCAAAACGTTTGTGTAGATTGAACAGTAGAAAAAGTATTTGCAAAATCACTCAATGGTTGCTTTAAAGACTCCCACTCATTACGAACAACATTTGAATCAAAATTAGGAAACTTATTGTATTTTCGACGAAGAAAATCAAGTTCAGATCTTCCATAATCAAGACAACTTATATTTCTCTTGTTTTTGATCAAATATTGTGGATCAAACAAAATAGACAAACACTCCTGTAATTTAGATGGAGTAAATCGTTTATCTAGTTCTCGTAGAAGACGATGAATATGTTCTAAACAATTATTTAAAAGCATTTTACGATCACCAACAGTTACTCTAAAACTTCCAAATGATTCTTCAGCTGTTGATTGAAGATAATCGAATAATGCAGGACCAACTGTTGATGAAGATTCACATGTCCAACTTTCTAAAATTTTTGTTTTTTCTTGAAGCATTTCCATTAAACTATAATACGAAAGTTTATCATTTTGCATAATCTTGGTTAATGGACCTGAAATGTTTTTCAAAACAAAAATGAATAATATTTCAAAAGAATAATTAACTCACCTAAAACAGTTTCATGAAGATCATAATGGAAATGTAGAGCTAATAAAAAGTCGTCGTTCAAAATAGATTTTAATAAATTTTTTGCTGATTCACGTTCACTACTAGATAAAGTAACATCAGTTGCTGCTTCTTGGAGATAAGCTAATAATGATTGGGAACCTAAATAAAAGTACATTTAGACAAAGTTTTTCCATCATTATTTTTATATTCACAAACCTGGTAGAACGTTTATAATAATCGGTCTAATACAATCTTGTATAGTCGACCATCGAATTTCAAATAATTTCTTGAATTTCATTTCTGGAAGATCTAAATAATTTTGCCATTGCTTTAATTTAAATAATCGAGTACTGCTTCGACTAAAATAACCATATATCCTACTAATTATAGCTTCAAGATTTAGAATTGTTTCATCAACAGCTGGTGGACTATTTGCTAAAACAAATATTAAACATCAAACTAAGAAATTTTTGGTATAAAAAACATACGATCAGTTTTTGGTTTGTAACTCGCATAACTTCCAACTAAAGAAAATGAATGTGCAAAACATGGATTCAACTCCAACCAATCGCATCCAAAATTTCGACGTATTTTAGCTAGAACACCTTCTCGAACACCTGAAAATATTGTATATAACAAACAATTAACTTATTGTGTAATAACAAAGCACTGACCAGTAAAAGTACTCGCATTGTCTGTTGCTAACCAACAACTTTTTAATGGATTTATATCATCTTTTCTCCACAAACTGCTGATTGATTTAACAATATTAGCTGCAGTACCATCTCCCTCCAAATTCATCAAACCAAAATAAGCCGTTTTAGGTTCAAAATTATCAACATATCGCACAAACACAATACAACTTTTTTCAATAGTTCGAGTTGTTGTTTCATCCATCATCCAGCCTCAAACAAAGTAATACGACGAGATATTGAATAAATACATTTAGTACAGTTCCACATACCTAAGACTGGGCTTAATTGAATTTTTTCAACTAATTCCTCGTGAAGAAAATTAGCTATATGTTGGATAAATCCCATAGCTGCATGACTATTACGATATGACACACCTGAAACTTGTGCAGGCAATAATTGTACTCCTAACTTCTCCAATAAGACACATAAAGGTTCAATCGATGCTAACGGATGATCTTCTTGACACAGGTAAATGCAAGCAAACATCAAATGTTGAATAGCTTGTTCATGTTTGCCAACCTCTTTTTCTCTAGTTATATGCCAATTTGGCTGTACTCGAGATGAAAGCAAAATCTCCTGCTCTTCCGCCTGCTTGTGCACCTCACTTTTTTCTTTGTGTTGTTTGATTTTATCAATGGATAGCGTTTTCATTCCACTATTAAACCATACATTTTCTTTTCCTGTACAAAGAAAAATTATTTTAGGACTTTAATCTTGTCTTTGTTCGTAGAAAATAATGCAAATTTTATTATAGCAATTGAACTCTTTTCGAAATAACAAAGACAAAAGCCTTTTTAATCTTACAGCTTACCATTAACATTCCTATACTTTCCAAATTTTTGACATAGACGACAAAACATTGAGTTATTGTCGAAGTATAACCAACACATAAATTTTTCATGTTTACCACCAAAATCATCGTAGATATAAGTTTTAAAATGTGCTTCAGGTTTCTTTTCCCATTCGTGTAAATATTGTGAACGATGTTTTGTTCGAGCAGATGGTAATGCTCGTTTTTTAACACCTATATTTATAGAAGAAACGTAATTATGATAATTTACATTTAAAAACTTGCGGATTTATGATCTTTACCTTCACTAATGATTTCACAATCAGGATTGGCTGATAACGTCGTTGATGATGATGATAAAGATATTGTCTGCAATACAATAATATTGTTTTCATGAGAATATAAAGTTTGGCTCCTACTATAGATGATGATAATGAACCACGTTCTGGTTCTACTGATGATGATGATGATGAACCATGTTCTGGTTCTACTGATGATGATGATGAACCACGTTCTG